CGCTATTTCTAAAATATGATATTTAAATTTTAAATATCCTATGAGTTTTAATTGCCGACGTAGTTTTCAATTGCAAATGTGATTTTAAAAATTAGGTTATTTCCGCAAAAATCGATTGACAAAATTAGGGCAAAAGACGATGACGTGACAATCCGGGCTAACAGAACTCGGGGCGCTACAAAAATGGTCCCACCCCGAGTCCACCCGACTCCCATAAGCAATGTTTAGATTGAGAACGGGCATTACATTTCTCATCGGGACAGAGATAGGGAAATGTCAATCATTCAGAAATTGTGGCTGTATGTACATAATGATTTACCATATAAAAATGATGTGATGAGATATGATTTGATCACAATTCTTTCAATCAAATAAAAAGATAAATTTATTCACTCTTTTTGGCACATGAACTTTATATAAACTAGTCAGAGTTGAACGTGCATTTCAAGTTATTCTAAAATATTTTTTAAGTATTGTGAAAGTAATATTTGACGCTCCCCCACCCCCTCCATTTACCCTTTTGATTTAAATATAAGAGAAATGCAAGCTTTCGAAAATAAATGTTAATTATTATATATACATGTAAATAGTAAAATGCATACTTAAATGTGAGTATTTGAATTACAACTAAATGCATAAATAAAAATGAATTACAAATACAATACGTGAATTAATGTGAATGTTAATTAATTTATAATTAACACCAAGGAATGTATATGTGACAATAAATGTTAAATAATTTATATTAAATGAATATAATTTAATTTTCAATTAAATGAAATTTGATGATAAATTAGCATACTTGGACGTGAATAATGAGCTGCATTATTGAATGTAAAATTTTAATTAATATTAATTAAGAATTAATCTGTGCTTTAAAAATCGAATTAGTCGGGTCAATTCAACCGAAAAAATTGGAAATCAGAACCAAAATCGGTCTAGTTAGGCTTATAAAACCTATAATTAAAAACAAAATCGATGAATTTTTGGAAAACTCGTGACCTATTTTTGTTTTAACAGGTTCAACCTATGTGAATGTATATTTTTAAAAAAATTTAAATGTATATATTTTTAAATTTTTTGTAAATGTATATTTTTTTAATTTTTTAAAAACTACGGTTCAATCCCGTTTCAACCTTTTGAACCTTGACTCTTTTTCTTTTTCTAATTGACTTTTAAAATATTGGAATTAATAAAATGGACGTGAATGTGAAATTCTAATTAATATTAATTAAATGAATGTGAATTAATTGAGAATTAATTATAGTATTTATTATTGTTAGTAAATTAAATACATGTTAAAAAACGAAAAGTAATGTTTATTGAAATAATTAAATTGTAGTAGGGTTATAATCGTTCAAAAATAATTCACACTTTATGTGATTCTTAATATATTATAGATTATCGTATAACTCCATTATTTAGAAGTAGCCTTATTCTTCTTGTCTCGTTGTCATCCTAGTCGTGACATGTCGCACTGAAACATAGATCATATGCCGTCTTCGCAATAAACACCTAATTCTCCACGATAAAACCCCAACAATTATATGCGCGTGGGCCTTGGGCTTGATTTGGCAGCTTAATAGCCTGTCCAGGTTCTTCATCACCCGAAACCCTAAGTCTGCTGCTAGATCATTCGGAGAACAATGGGGGACTACGACGATGCCCTGATGCGCAATCCAAATGCCGCCGTTCAGGCCCGCACCAAGGTTCAGAACCGCGCCAATGTTGTACAGCTTAAGCTGGTACACTATCCCTAATCCGACCATCTTTCCGTTGCTATTTGTGGCTTTATTTAGGAACTAAAATTTGAGTTGAGGTTGTTTGGATTTACTGATTTGATATAAAGACTGTAATTTGATAAGTTCGAGCTGTTACGTTAGTGTAATTTTTTACTATTCTTATGGGTTCGGGTTTTTTCTAATACATTGTATTTTTGAACTTTAGTTTAATAGTTATATTTCCTGGATTAGTGTTAATTTGTCTGAATTAAGGAATTTAGAGTTTCAGCTGTACATCTCAATTTCTTTCTGCTGAAACCGTTTTATGCTGAATTGTGAATTTAATTTTTATTTACCGCCTATAAGATAATGCACGAGGATGACCATGTGAAAGTCTAAAAGATGAATTTTAGTGCGTTAGGTACTATGGTTTACTGTGAATCTAACACTTGTGGTGATATTATTTACATTTTTCATGGTTTTTGGATTTAATTGCTCAGATTGGTCAAAGTCATCCAACGGGCCTAACAACGAATCTTCTGAAGTTATTCGAACCTCGGCCACCTCTAGAGTACAAACAACCTCTAGAAAAGAGGAAATGCCCTCCATATACAGGTTGATAGTTGCTTTGAGTTTAGATAAAGTCTTTAACTACGTTGAAAAATATTTTATTTTTGACTATTCATTTGTATGGTCTTATTTGCTTTTACAGGTATGGCTCAATTTGTTAGTAATTTTGCTAACCCTGGTGATCCTGATTATTCGCCACCTGTGCAGAAGGGTGAAAATCCGGTTAGATTTGGTTTGCTATTAAATCTTACCTATGGGCTTTTGCATATTAGGAACTATGTGATCTGCATACATCCATCAATTATTTCTATTGACTCAATGTTGCTATAAATAGGATAAAAACATACCTGTAGACGGACTTCAGTACTCTCACAAATAGGAATGAAATTAAGCCCCTCTTTGGTAGAGATTTTTTTGAGAACAGATTTTGTGAAAGTTATTTTATTTTATTTTAATTTTTTTTTTGGAGATGTGTGGTTAAAAATTAGAGAAAAGTTACGAGTCCACATGCAAAATTATTTAACGAAGAGAATGTGAGGTTGAAAATGATTCTTGGAAAAATGAGGACCAGACAGTGGTCAAATAATGTAATTTCTGAACCTCTTGATTGTCCATACCTGATTTGGAGGGATGTATTTCCAAAGTGCTTTACCCTTTTGAATGTTGGCTTGATATAGTAGTGCGTGGATACTATGACCAAATCCATATATATTTCAGCTTTGTAGAAGCTTTCGAGTCTTTTTTGTGTAAAAGGAAATCTACACAGGGCCGTACAGATTGTGTTAACAATGACACTCCATGAATCATAATGCTTTATTTTCTATTCCATTGTATGGTTCATGTATTTGTAGCCACTTCTGAGTTCTGAGAGATTAGGACTGCAGTAGAACTGTGACAGCTTTCCTTTTTTTTCCCCCTCTTTTGGCAGAGATGGGTTTTCTTGTTTGTATACTTGACAAATTCTAAATATGAATCCTCTGTATTTTTATTCTACTGTTGGATGTAATGTCCCATATGTTGCGCATGTGTAAATTTAAGAAATTTGTAACCTTGCATGTGGAATATATTTCTTGATACTTTTGATGCATACAGGCGCAAAGAAAAGCCAGAATTCACAAAATAAGGCTGGAGGAGGGGGCAATAAAGGCTGCCGAGGAGCTTGAGAAATGTGATTAAGGCTTTCTTTCTTCAAGTAATTTTATTTTCATTGATTCTAGTAAACTTATTCTTTTGATGTGATGGTCTATACAGATGATCCAAATAATGACCCAAATATTTCTGGAGATCCGTACAAAACTTTGTTTGTAGCTAGACTTGTGAGTGGCTCTTTTTTCATGACGGTCAGTTTCTCTGCAACGATTTATATTTTTGCACTTGTCGACTAAATTGAAACATTATTTTGTTTCAGAACTACGAGACAACAGAGATCAGAGTCAAACGGGAGTTTGAGGCTTATGGCCCTATAAAGCGGGTAGGTATTACGGAGTTGGAGTTATTGGTTTTTGGTTTGGTAAGAGTTTTACATATTGCGTGGTAGTGTGCTTTTTTCCTCTTTAGTTGGTAAGTACAGTCCAAAAATTTTCAGTATTTGAAATTACAGTCTTTTCCGCCCCCACCCCCGCGATTACAAACCCTTTTTTTCAAAATAAATAGAAATAATTGAGTTTTTCTGCTCAATATTGGTAATTTTAAGTTAATTTGAGATTCTTCTCAGTAGAATGTGATATGATAAATGATAAAGTTTAGGCTCTATGTGGATGACGTGATGGATATCCTGTATCCCCCATTTCCATGAGCGTATACATTAAATAATTGCTATTATTTTTTATGAATTTCACAATCTTTTTGATCAAAAGTATTTGTTCTCATGGAAATTCTGTAGGCAGTTCTTTTGAAAGAACACATCAAATTTGAGCTGTATGTTTTGCATCAATTTTAACGAAGTTGAGCATAATTACCGTTTCTTTTCTAAAATATCCGTTGATGGTCAAATCAATCACCCTCAGGTATTACCAGCAGTTGCTATTGTTTTTGTTTCACTTGTCTTAGCTATGACTTCTGCTTTTGTTGGACTTGGAATTCACTTCAGAACTTGGGAATAATAAATTTTTAGGCACTGATCCAAAAATAAGGTTCAAAATATATGTATCCCCTGTGAGAAAAGAACAATGTTCAGCTCTTGGTTTATAGATTGTTCCACTGCAACCAATCAAAATTAAACGATGGTGCTTCGTCCATGCAAAGCTGAAAATGTTAATTAGTGAAGACCAGTGATTCCTTGTGCCATTTTAGCTATTATTTCAAGCAGCATTGGGAGGATAAACATTTTCGTACACTGGGTAGTAATTGGGAGTTTGGGAGTATTGCCCTTTATTTTAAGTACACTCTGCCTTTCCTGCTGCTGAAAACAATTCTTTTTGGATTTAAAGGCTGTCAAAAATGTTTCTAGTTTCATTTTTACTTCTAAAAATTCCCTGGTAAGGGGATGTTAGTTCATGTGAAATGGTAAATTGGCCAAGGTGTGTTTGCGGCTCTAGAAGTGATGGTGGTGTGCCTCGCCTTGGAAGCTGTATGATTAAAAGGTGAGCACGGCTTATTAGGCTAAGCGCCCGTCTGCCGTGCCATTAGGCTTCTTTTAATATTATAATACTAATAATAGTATGGAATTAAACATACTCAGATAAGTATTCTGTCTACAGTGGATACTATTCTGCTTCTGTTATTACTGCTTAGCGGTGTTGTCCATTTGAGTTTCAGGTCACCTTGATTACAGATAAAGAGTCGAATAAGCCTAGAGGCTATGCCTTCATTGAATACATGCATACACGTGATATGAAAGGTTTCTTCCTGTCCACTTTTCTCCTTCCTTTGCTTTTCTTTCCCAATTTTCACTCATAGTTGAAGTTTTATGTTATGCAGCTGCATATAAACAAGCAGATGGGAAGAAGATTGATAACTGGAGGGTGCTTGTGGACGTTGAACGTGGTAGAACTGTTCCTAAGTGGCGACCTCGCCGGCTTGGTGGTGGACTTGGAACAAGTCGTGTTGGAGCTGAAGAAGTTAACCAGAGAACTTCTAGCAGGTAATTTTGTAATTGCTCTACTAGTCATTATTCATTGCAACTTTTTAATATGGCATCATAAAGTGCTAGCTAAGTTAAAAGTGCCTGGTAATGCCGTAATGGTAATTCCTGTTAAATGTTGCCAGATATTGAAAGTACAGAGGCAGTCACTGTCTTTTGATGTTTTGATATTATACTTGTTTTTTGAGGATTCTAATGCCACCAGCCCTGATGTCATTTCAACTCCTTTCTTTTTTTTTCCATGCTTTTATTAAAATGAAAATGAAATAAATTATAACATACTCTTTTTTTCATATCGCGATCTTGTTAAACATGGTGTCAGAATTTCAATTCACATGGTATGCTTCCTCTGTTAGTATGAAACTATTACAGGTGAAGTTGGTGATGGTGGTTCTGGTACTGACTGTTTTGCCCCATCACTGATGTTCATTTGGTAGTATTGCTTGCAAAATCACTTGTATATTTGAAGTTCACATGTTACAGACATGATTAGGAGTTAAGATCATGAAGTATTGTGCTTTTCGCAGTTGTGAAAGTGCAATATTGTCTGTACTCTTGTTCTACTGTGTCTTTTTTTTTAAAAATGGGGTTATGTGAATTGCAAGTTGTTTAATTACTAAAATGATCTGCAAGGAAAATTCCAAGAACCTTGTGAAATTGACGGGATTAGGTTTAGGCATACATAATCTGAATGCTAAAATTGAGTCCTTAGCTTACAATCTCTGAGGCACAATCCTGATTTATGTTGTCAGAGGCTAATGGCATTTTTTTCATACAGGTTACAGCATCGGCATTCCATTGAGTGGTGGTGGTGTTTTACACAACTGTGTTTTTCTTTTTGAAATTATTGATTATTGTAGCTTGAGTATCTGGTGTTAATATTTTCTATCAAAAAGAAGAAATCTTGTAGCACTTTGTTGGTTAATTATACTTGTTTTTGTCAGTGGGGGAATTCCTTGTCAAAACACATTTGACATGATTTTGTATTTTGTTAAATCGAATGTAATACATGCTTACTCTTCCTTTACATGTTACAGAGAGCAACTGCAGTCTGGTGGAACATCTCGATCAGAAGAACCAAGGGTACGAGATGACCTAGTCAGGTAAGTATCTATGTAGATGATTTTACACTTATAAATGCCTGGAAACAACAGATCATGGGGAACTGTGCATCTTTAGGCAATATAATAAATATATTGAATTTCACATATCTGCAATGTCATAATTTGGCATGATACTTGAGCATTGGCTCATTCCCATCACTTAGCTTATCATGATATCTAGGCTGTATGTTGGCATCTTATGAATTATGACTGACAGGCCAAAGTTTCAGGGATAGGGAGAGGTCCCATGAAAGGGGAAGAGATGGGGAGAAGTCCCTTGAAAGGGAAAGAGATAGGGAGAAGTCCCGTGAAAGGGGAAGAGACAGGGAGAAATCCGGTGAAAGGGGAATAGACGGGGAGAAATCCCATGGAAGGGGAAGAGATCGGGAGAGACAGCGGGAAAGATCTCATGACAGACAAAGGGACCGTGATAGAGATGATAGGCACCACAGAGATCGGGACAGAAATAGGGACAGGGACAGAGACCGTGGTCGTGACCGTGATCACGGTAGAGATCGAGGTCGTGATCGCGACCGTCATCATGAGAGGGAGAGGAACAGAGACGATTATGAAGTTGGGAATGACCATGACCGTGGTAGTTCTCGGGATAGAGACTATGATTATGTTCATGTTGATTCAAAACATTACCAAGACAAGGGCGAAAGAGACAGGAACTATGAAAAGGAAGAAGCAGAGGACAACCGCAGGTGGCATGAACAACCTGAGCTTGAGCGTCCAGAAACTAAACATGATCATCGGCATTATGACTACTATGATAATGCAGATGGCCAGGGTGATTATGACCGCTACAAAGAATCTGCTCATGACCATGACCGCTATGATCAAATGGAGGAGGACGGTAATGGTTATGATAGAGCCACATCTGAGCCACGAGAAAGGGACCCTGATAGCCGGCGTTAAAGATTGTTCACTTGATTATTGAAGCCATGCAAGTTAGAGGTGCATATTCCTTTTCATTAGTGCACTCTTATCTCGTTTGGTATTTATTGCAGTCAATATTTTTTACCCTGAGAGACTCCTCGAGGTGAGATTGTTTGTGGTCTGATTGACCAGGAGATGTTTTTATGAGTCTTGGAATTATGTTGTGTATGTTATTCGTACTATTAGACCTGTAAAGAACTTGTTTTAGAATTTTTCTGTTATTTGACATTTGGAGCGAATCCAACTAGCTAAACTGCATGTAAACTTATTTTGCAACTTTGATGACTAGTGAGGACTGTTTTGACTTTTGAAGTGGTGGTATTAATGACATATTTTTTAGTGATTTGGAGTGACAGCATATTAATTGAAATGTGAAATATAACTTTACAAATTGTATTATAGATGTTTGATGCATAAAGTTAGATAGTATAATTTATATTTTGTTTGTGCATTGTTTTTAATTTTTGCATCAAATTATAAATAATTTATGATATTTCACAATAATGTTAATGTGGATACAAATAATGTGAATTGCAATAGAAAGAAGTAAAACAAACGAAAAGATGTATGTGCCTACGTTGCTAAATTTGTTCTAGAATAATTATTTTTGGGATAAATGATCTTACGAATTTTTCACCCCCTCGAAAGTCTATATCAGGAATAATCTTTTAAAGAAGCTTTCTTTTTTGTATCATTCAAAGCTACCACTTAGAAGTACAAGAATAATTTAAACAATTAAAAAATAATAGGCAGAGAGTTTTTTGAAAAAAACAAAATAGAGTCAAATTATAGATGTTTTATTTTGTAACTGCTTCATAAGTAGTGTTGTGTTTTTACTATCACAAGTGTACGATATCGTAACAAGTAATATAGTGGACCTTTGAGTCCGGATTATCGTACCCAAGAGAACTATACTTTAGAACTTAATTAAATTTTTTTAGCTCTTAATTGATGAAAGTAAACAAAAAATTTTGCGTTGATGTGAATTTGTTATTTAAACAGTTTAACTTAGTTAAAATGCACACGAAGATTAGTTGAGATTTTAAATAATGGATGGAAATTATGGACGAACAATTTCACTTATTGATCACCTTTAAATCCTAATTCAAGATTCAACTTAAGTAGTGTTTGATCGAATTAATCTATAGTATTCAATTTATCCCTTTCAAGTTTTCATTGAGTTTATTTAATTATTTCAATCACATATCTCTATACGAATATACCTTAATTAAACGAAATATCAGTTCTAAGACTTCATGTATAATCGCAATATTTAGTATAGGTATTTCTATACGTTATACTAACTTATCGAATTTTACTATATGGTCTAAATCTCAAATTCATCTCTCGATTCGTAAAAGATTCACAAAGTCATGAAATTAGTGATCAAGTAATTTAATGCATTAAACTCATAGTAAAATCAACACATGAACGATAAAATACCAAGAATCTTGAATAAAAGATTACTCAGCCAAAAATGGGTCTCAATCTCCAACTAAAAATCAGGACATCCTTGTGCGGTTGAGAACTAATTTGTGAAAATATTTTGGCTATATTTTCACTCTTTTTGACTTTTAATTGTATCCAATTGATCCCTAACATTTTCAAATCTTCATCGTGAGCTAAGACACAACTTTTGAGTATTTGTATTTTAGCCCCCAAACTTTGAATTTTGCCATTTTTCACTCATTTCTTTCAATTTCACTTCTATTTATCGGGTTTCACCTAATAACACATTATATAATAAATTAGGCTATAATTTCATTAAAAGAATTACGAAATGTCAATATTTTAAAGCCCAAATAAGTGTATAAAATACAATTATCAAACACCCCCAAATTTAAACATTTGTTTGTTCTCAAACAAAATTATAACCTAACTTAACAAACACACAAACATGCAAAATGTTTTGATTAGATGACCTGTCATTTTGTCTCGTGATTGAAATTATTGTATTAAATGGATAAACCGTTTCAAAGTTGCATTACCAAAATCAATTTCTACTTTTCCAATGCAAAACTGATGTGTGTGTGAAAAATTTAGCATATCATTATGAATTCATAAGTTGTTTTAATTCCCGACCCTCAATGATCAAATATGTGATTTCATCACTCGTAAAATTCACATACCCCCAAATTTATTATTTTTGCTCTTTTCGAGTGTATAAACTAATGTTGAATTTTCTACTATCCTCACATTTCTAGTTTAGACAAAATTCACCAATTGCAGTTCAACATGACAATAAACATGGATTTTCCATTAAGTTTGATTGCTTTAATATCTAGGACTTAACTAGACTAATAATATCTTATCAAAAGTCAAATTTTCTAAAACAGGTGTTCGAGACTTAACCAAGGCATTTGATGCGTCTTCTATTTCATGCACATTTTTTCTAATTTTTTTTTTTTAACAATCTTTTTCTTTATTTGAATCATTATCTCTCTTAAACTTTCTAAATGACCCATGTAGCAAACTTTCGAGCGATGACTCCCAAATCAGATGATCACAGGTCACCAGATTTTAAGAACTCTTGTAGGCTTAATTGCTCGAGTTATAAAGGCTACGAAGAAAAATTTTCAAATAAAATATTTTTTATGCTTTGATTAGTGCAATGTCCCTCATTTAACACCAATTCAAGCAAAATGTCCTACAACTTGAGATTTTCACCCAATTGCATCCTATTAACCTTAAACAATCCAAACAAGATTTTTTTAATTTCACACATTGAATCCCTATTTATTTCAATATCTTCTTACAACAGTGAAATCCTCTTAAACTATTCTAAATTTGGTCTAGGAATGTAAAGTTTAGTGGTTTTGGGTTTAACATATATGGTTCACTATTTCAACATATCCAATTATGAAATCAACTCATTTCTACACAATACTTAACTTAATTCATGTACTCAATATATATCAAAATTTCATATGGAAAAACAAAAGTTAATTTAAGCATGTTACTTATTTACCATTCATAAATTAATT